CCCCAAAACCCCAAAACCCCAAAACCCCATCAATTAAATTTACAAGTAAAGATGTTAAAATATCAAAATAAATAATTTTAAAAATCGTAAATTATATTTCCAACTCTTAATGGTATTATAGCCGGAAAATTTGAAACAATTCACCAATATTGATAAAATGTCTTTTTATATTTACTAACTAACTGATTTTCCCCCCTCTTAAACTAATAGACAATGCAATAAAGGCTTTGATTTTAAAGGAATAGTATTGGCCTGCTACATTTTATTGATGGAGACGATAAAATTAATGATATAGGGATATTATTTCTAGATTTACAAAGATTAAAATAATTGATTATAAGAATAAAATCGTGATTCTAAAAGCAATAAACTGTAGTTGCTACACAATTCATTTGCTAATAAAAGTCCTTGTGGAAATATGAATGAAATTCAAGAGAATTAAGACCTATCAGATTATTTTACAATATTAAAGGCAATTATTGTAGTAATCATCAAATTTTTTCTGCAATTTAAAACTCAGAATTTAACTAGCTATATTACAATAATAGCTCTTCACATGATAAAAATTTGATGTTTGGAGTAATGCTATAATTGGAATTATCCTATTGGATTTCATAGTCGCTTTTACTCTGAGGTAAATTCCTATGCCTCAGCATTTGATTTGGATTATAATCAAAATGTCATAATTACAGGAGTAACTAAAGATAATACAATAAATAATGGACTCAATACTGCCTTCTACCAGTATCATAGTGTAAATGGAGAGAAATGGCTGAAAACCTTCTTATAAGAGAATCTCTTACTGGCTAATTCTGTTAAGATTCAAAAAACTAAAAACTATGCTTAGAAGATTGTATCAGTGTTAAAAGGAAATTAGGGAATGATGCTAATAATGTTAATTAATGCTACTGATGGAGAGATGATAAAACTTTACTAAGATAACAGTGATTAACTACGACCTTTATATGAAATTAATTAGCCTAACTCAATTGTATTTACAGATGATAATCAGTTTTTTATTTCTGCCTTTAATTTGGACAAAATATAGAATGTTATTGCAAGATTTGATTTCTCAATTTTGGGAACATCGCTTAATGGCAAGTGGTCAAAAATTATTGGATCATAGTATCCTAGTCATTAATTTTTGTCAATTTACCTAGATGAGGTGAACGATGGATTATTTTTAAATTTTAAAAAATCCTTTGTATTCGACTCATTTACTCATAATGCAAGATTAGGAATTATCAAACTTAATGCTAAAACTGGTTAGCCTTTGTGGTCTCGTGGCTTTGAGTATAATAAGACAACTCTTGAGTCAGATAAGACATTCATTTCAGAGTTTAGTGTTTATAGGTTAAATGCCTAAGAAATAATTGGAATATGTTCTCACACCCAACATGGAGAAGATGTGTTATATAATATGTAGTTCTCACTATTATAGATTGACTATGTTTCTAATTAATATTCAATGTACATAACAGAGTTAAACAAAAATTAAAGATGTAGAGATGTGAAAATTAATTCAATGAATTAGTTTTACGCATTATCGAATGATTAAACTGAATATTTCGGTCATATGTTCTTTTACAAAATAAATTTTAACAATACGAATAATGTGTCAATACTTGAACAAGCAATAATTTTCTAAGATTACAGATGATTTACATATTATTTTTTCTGGGTAAGCATATATTAGGTATA